TGGGGCGGGCGCGGTTTCACTATGATGCATCCCGCCCGTGGGCTGGCAATTTGACATCCCTGCTCTAAAGCCTGGATACTTGGAAAGCTTGGAGAATTAGAAGTTAGTATAGCATCATGTTTATGAATCAGAGACTAACTAACTTTTCTAATGAAATTGGTCCAAAGGTGTTTTTTTTTTTTTAAAAAAAAAAACCCCATCCTTATAAGCCAGTGGTGGCGAACCTATGGCAGGGGGGCCAGAGGCGGCACTCAGAGCCCTCTCTGTGGGCACACGCACTGTCGCCCCAGTCCTAGGCCTTCAGCTGGGTTTTATAAAACCTTTTCGCTTTAGGCTTCTGCTGCCATGTACAAAAAAAAAAAAAGGTTCAATCAATCAGTCAATTTCAACTTTTTGCGGGGAAAAAAAAGATCTTGCAAAGTTGGGATTGATTGAACTTTTTAATCCCACCCAGTCTGCTGTTACCACCGCAGCCACGACTACCCAATGGGCCACACCCACCCAATGGGCCACACCCACCCGGTACCCGACGATGCATAAGTGGGTTTTGGGTTGCAGTTTGGGCATTCGGTCTCTAAAAGGTTCGCCATCACTGTTATAAGCTATGCCAAAGGTCCCCAACCTTTGGGGCACCAGGGACTGGTGACGTGGAGAGAGGTTTTTCCACGGACTGGAGAGGGTGTGGTTTTGTTTACAGCCTGCCTCCTGCGGATGGGGATTTCCTTGTTTGTGCGGCCCGGTTGCTGGCATGCCGCGGCCTGGTACTGGTTCATGGACTGGGGGTTGGGGACCCGAGCTATGCTTCATTCCAATAAAGACATTTTGATAAAGAAATGGTATTACAAAGTTAGAATTTAGAACTCAGTGGGGCATATTTCTTGGTATGATTAATTTATTTTCTTCATACTTTACCTTGAAATCAAGCCCCTTGAATTCTAAGCAGCACCAAACACAGCCTAAGCTGAGGGGAGGTTCAGAAGGATTTTTCAGAAGGAAGTTTTCTATAGCTGTATAGTTTCAGCCCACTTCCAGTATTGATATCAAGGGTAAGATTTCAATCAATCAGACCAGAGCTGGAAGGGACCCTGGAGGTCTTATAGTCCAACCCCCTGCTCAAGCAGGAGACTCTATACCAGACATGTCAAACTCGTGATGTCACGTGATGTTGTGCGACATATTGGAGCTTCTTCTCCATTGCCGGCAATGGGATGGGCGTGGTGTCCTGGTGACGTGTCCGGCCCGCGGACCGGCAGTTTGACACCCCTGCCCTATGCCATTTTCAGACAAATCTCTTCTTAAAAACCCACAACACCTGAGGGCAAGTTGTTCCACTGGTTAATTGTCCACACTGCTAGGAAGTTTCTCTTTAGTACCAGATTGCTTCTCTCCTTGATTAGTTTCCACCCATTGTTTCTTGTCCTGCCTACAGGTGTTTTGGTAAATAAGTTGATCCCCTCCTCTTTGTGGCGGCCTCTGAAATACTAGAATACTACTATCACGTCAGCCCTAGCCCTTCTTTTCTCTAGACTAGCCAAACCCAAATCCTACAACCATTTTTCATACAGTATGTTTTACTTTTCAGGCCTTTAACCCTCTTAGTTATTCTTCTTCGCGCTTTTTCCAAAGTCTCAACATCTTTTTTATAATGCAGTATTCCAGTGTGGTCTTACTAAGGCTTTTCAAAGAGCATTAAGCAAATTGGCATCTGGTCAAACAGCCAGTTGTAAAATTTAAGAACCAAGGCAAATAACATATGTCAAAGGGACTCAAACCAACATTATCTGGCAAAGACAAGAGAATTCCCCTGCTATGTAGGTAACCTGTAAAATATTAAAGACTAGGATTAATCTCACAGTCTTACACATTCAGTATCCAGCACGCCAGACCTTACCTTTAGCACTACATATCACACTGTAGACCATACAAAATGGTCTAAAAATGAGAAGGTTTTGTTCTGTTTAATAGTATTTCATTTCTAAAAGCTTCTATCACAGAAAGAAGAAGGAAGGAAGGAAGGAAGGAAGGAAGGAAGGAAGGAAGGAAGGAAGGAAGGAAGGAAGGAAGGAAGGATGGATTAACTATAGAGTCAATACCTTCCTTTAGTTTGCTAAAATATAATGGAGGCCAATTACCATGACTGATGATCTGAACCTGTCCTATTTCTTCACAAGTATCAGGAAGCAATAGCCAAGGATACATTATTGCTGAAGTTCATTAATTATACAGGCTGCTGGAAAACACGGACATCTGTTGACACCAATGGAAACAGGGACGTGGAGTTGATGTTGTCACAGAAACACAGTAGTTTTCCATCAAGGTCATTGCTGCTCAGGGACACTGGAAAGAAGATACACGAAGGAGAGAGGGCCAAAGTCTCTTTTAATTAAAATATGAACAATTCCAAATGTTCTTCCTGCAGTATAAGAATAGCTAAGAACACTGCTTATATTTTTAATGCCAGGCTCAGTAAACCAATACACTTAATAAACAGAGATTTGCTAAATAAATGCAAATAAGTTTCCAACAATGTACCCCTTGATCTCTTCCCATGGATGGGGGAGACCGACTCTAAAAAGGTTAGGCATTTGACACATGTGGTTCTAATCCAATCTAATTGTAACCTTAGATTGCAATAATATGTCTACCTTTTAAGGTGTCCTGAGTCATCGGCCTTGCCCCGATTTATATTTAACCTTGACACCATCATGCTTTGTCCCGTCTGTTTTCCCTCTTGGTCACAGACATGAATGGAACAACTTTAAATCATCATTTAGGTATACTGATTTTAAAGCAACACATTTTCCCTCTTAAGCTGACAAAAACCCCACCTACCTTTAGGGTATGTCATTTCTATAACTCTTTGTCATCCATTGTCTTGGATGTGAATTCAGCTATCTGTGGTGGGGATTATTAGAGATGGGTTGGGAGGTGTGGACAACACCTGGACACCTGGCCTCGGCCAGCCTCCCCCACCTCCTTTGACTCCACTTAAGCCATTGATTGCCTGAGTTCCTTTCAGAGATGTCACCTCCCATCCAACTTTTGACCCCAACTTCTCTACTTTCCAACCAATGAGAAGGGAGGAGGGAAGAATTTCATTATTTCATCTGGGGAAAAAAGGTTTTTAACTAGTACCATTCCGCTTTAAGAGTATCCCAAAATTATTAAATCTCCTCTGCTTGTTTATAGAAATGAAAACTTAACTATTCTGCTTTAACAGGATTCTGGAACTTATTTTTATATGAAACAGCCCTACTTTTCCTCACTGCAATGTCCACAAAATGATGAGGCATTGAATTGGGCTTTTGTTCATTAATGGCCAGTTTCCTTTAGATTTTTCAGTTTCAATCATGCCCCCAAAACAGAATGAAAGACCTGTCTACATAGGCAAGAGTCAATTTCAGTCACCCTTAGACTATTGCACAAATAATCAGAGTCTGCTCCCCGTTTTTTCTGGCAGAATTTCTGCCCTGCTGTCTTCAAATGTGCTTCTTTACATAGACTTACGACCATCAGCAAGGCCGTTGTTAAGTAAATTTTGCTCCTTTTTATGATTTATTTTGCTACAGTTGTTAAGAGATTCAATGAAGTTGTTAAACGAATCATGTGGTCATTAAACGAATCTGGCTTCTCCCATTGATTTTGCTTGTCAGAAGCTGTCTGGAAGATCACAATTGGGGATCACACGACCCCAGCACAATGCAATTATCAAACACATGCCAGTTGCCAAGTGCCTGAAGTTTGATCACGTGACCACAGGGTTTCTGCCACATTTGTTAAGTGTGAAAAAACGGCCGTAAGTCACTCTTTTCAGTGCTGTTGTAACTTCAGTCACTAAATGAATAGTTGTAAGTTGAGGACTACCTGTACAGGAGGAAGGCCAGATAAAACAGTTTAGGGAAGCGAAACAGAGTCCTGAGGTGAGACTACCTCCTTCTCTTGCAGTTGTCTGTTTGGGGGATATTTTTGCTGCTGGCTGGCTATCTCCTGAAAGGTATTGGCTGTGTAAAGCCAGAGGGAAAAAACCAATAACATTGCCTACAATAGTTGGCACACTCAGAGCAATGCCATTCAGCAATGACTTGGAACACCTTCTGAAGGAGAGAAATTGGCAACAGGGGCAGTCAGTTTTACGCCGGGATTGTTTTGTGCTGACTCCAGGATGGCTGGATAATAAAGCTGTGCAGATTTTTGGATTCCGAACAGTAGATAGCGGTGCAAACATAGCACTGAACCAGAACACTTTAAAGCAGCCCTATCTTTTGCAGCCCCAATATTGTAGGATCAGATGGTATATACTGCAGTCAGATACTTTCCAGTACTCCAAGCAAACCTATTCCAAATAAAGCGATGCAGATTTCTGAATTTCAAACAGGACACAGCTGTGCAAACATAGCACTGAACCAGCCACATTAAAGCAGCCACCTCTTTTGCAGCACCAATACTTACTTAGAGAGTATATACTGCAGTCAGATACTTTCTAAGTACTTCAATTAAACCTATTCCGGATGCTTTCATGGGACTCATTTCTCAGATTCAGCATCCAGGACACTTAAGGACAAAAAAAAAAAAAAAAAAAATCGATCTCCTTACAATTAATTAGATTGCTACCTTAAGGAAGTATTAAAGCCAACCTGTAAATACATTCCAAGTTTTGAATCGTGCAGAACTTTTATTCCGGCCAGCCATCATTTCCTTGCTGCTGCTGCTGCTACTACCACTACTATTACTACAACTACTACTACTATTATTACATTTGCCCCGGCTGAACCATCGTTTCTCTGAAGGACGCCGACGATCCCCTCGTCCAAACAAGTTTGCCGTTCCGTGATCCGGTGTCCTCCTCCCCCCACCCCAGATCAGCTGCAATTTCCACCCCCCCGCATTCCCCCCCCGCGGGTTAAGTCGCCATGTGATCGGAGATTCCTGCTCCATGGAATCCCCGCCGGCGAAGGAGGCGGGAGAGCTAGTGCACCGCGTGGGGTTGGGGCCGGAGCGCGCAGCCGCAGTGCGGACCAGCCGGTGTGTGCGAGTGTGGAGCGAGCGAACGAGCACGAACTGCTACAAAAGAAGCGCGAGCGGAGTTTGCAGGCTCAACTCCGAGGCGGCGTCAGCTTCTGTTGGACGGCGATTCCTCGGGCTCGCTCTCCCTCCCTCCTCTCGCAGTCCTCTCCGCGCCCGTCGGGTGGGCTTTGACGGTGGAAACAACCGGTGCCTGGCACGTCTCTTCCCCGGAGGAGCCGCCTGCTCCAGGACCTCCCCTCCCCCGCGCTGCCCTCGCCTCGGGACTGGCACGGCACCGCCGCCGCCTCCCCCACTCCTGTCCTTACAGGTTAAAGCGCAGCGAGGTGAGTTGAACTCTTTCTCCGCGGGACGGGACGGGACGGGACCGGGGGGGGGAGGGAGGAAATCCGCCGGGAGTTGCTTTAGGAAGCAAACGGGAGGCGGGAAAGAAGGAGCGCTGCGCGTCGCCTGGATGGAGGTGGCCGGGTTGGATCGCCCGGGGATCCCTCGGTGCGACTCGGCTGGGAGGCGGCGCGCGGGGAGACCCACCCGCGCCTCGGTCCTTTTTTCTTTTTCCTTGGAAAATGTGAGCTGAGGGCAGCCAAGTATAAAGAAAACATAACTTTGGGAAGGAGTTAGGGATTTTCCCCAACTCGGCTCTTTTTCTGTCTCCCTCCTGTTGGCGCTAATCGCCCGTTCCTGGCTCGCCTCCTCTTTCCGTGCGTTTGTCCCCCCTGAGGTTAAAAAAAAAAAAAAAAAAGCCGGGCTTTTGCTTTGCTCAGGTGGCTGCTCGCAAAGCCTCGGACTCTGCACGTTTATCCCCCACCTCCCTCCTCTTCTCTCCCTCCCCGCCCCCGGTTCTTGCTCCGGGTTCCCCTTCACTTGACATTGCAACCGGTAGGGCCCTGAGGGAGCGCAGCGGCCGGGAGTGGGTGACTTTCCTCGGCACGTTTCTTTTCTCCCCTCTCCAAAATCTCTTTTGTCGCCTCACCTTCTCCCTCCGTTCTTGGGCTGAGGGAGGCTTTTGTTCGGGAAACATCAAAGGGACTTTGATGGGGGTGGGGGGGTGGGAAAGAAGAGAAGACATAATTTTGAAGGCAAAATTTCTCTTAGCACTTCATTGCCTGTCAACGCTGGCTTGGCGCCTCCTTCTCTCTCTCTTCCCCCCCCCCCCGTCCCAAAACGCGCTTTTCCTATATGAGAAAAAAGAATGAAACTTTATTTCCCTCCCTCCTTCCTGGCTGCTGTGTACAGTGAATTGCCTAATTAATGAAGCAGCTTATTATACATGGCTGGGAGCAGATTGATCTGCTTAGAGTTATTATTGAAACCAGATAACTATCTTGAGCAGTCTGCTGCCAGTCTTGGAAGGCTAATGTATTACCTATAGTTGTTTTAAAGTTAAACTTTCAAAGCTATATTACCTGTAGTTGTTTTAAAGTTAAACTTTCAAAGCTAAAGACTGAGATTCCCTTGTTTGCCATCTTAAAAGCCCTGTTACTGGCCAACTCTGGAAATGCGTGTCTTATTTATTCAGTTAAAGAAAACATATTTTTGAAAATTGTCCATAAGTTTAGGCCACTTTAGTGTCTCTTAACAAGTGTGGGTACTTATACCTGTAGGAAAAATGGTGAAAATGGACCTCAATAGTTTATGAAAGAATGTATCTTAGTCCACTTGGAGACTTCAGTAAGGTATAGAACAGTGGTTCTTAACCTTTTTAATGCCGTGACCCCCAACCGGTTGTAAGTTGAGGACTACCCAACCGGTCGTAAGTCAAGGACTTTCCCTGCCCGGGAGCACCGTGCATGCGTGGTGCCACCCCCTGCGCCGGTGGAGACAACTTGCAGCACAGTTTGAAGAATGGGACTTTTGGTGGGCTCATCAGGGCAGAGACAGTCTGGACAATTCCTATTGGCTTTTGAAAGCCAATAGAATTAGACTCTATTCAAGAGAGTCTATTCTATTGGCTTTCAAAAGCCAATAGACTAAAAGGGAGTAGCACAGCTAAGAAAAAGGGGGAAAAAATGGCGGACTGCGTTGTTTGGTGACCCCCGTGAAATGGTTGAGAACCACTGGTATAGAAGGTACTTAACTTATTCCTGCTTGAAAGTGAAAAATATTTAAGTTTAGCCTTTGTCAAGTGTACTTAAGGAGAACAATTTTAATCTAGGCTTTTGATTATTTCTGCAAAACCAACTCACAATTTTTATATGAGGGATAGTGTGCTTATCATGGGCATTTCCAAACAGTAGTTTTCATTCAGGTTGCACCTTACCCACATTCTTCACAAACGGATTTGTGACTGACCTTCTCTATTGTCTTAATCTGACCAACAAATCCTGAGAAACTGGCAGGGAATAAATATCACAAGCCAATCAGTTCTTCTAGCTAATGAATAAAAGCAAACTAAAAATGCTCCTTCAGGTAGAGGTCATACCTCAGCCTGTGTTATTTTCTTGACAATAATGTGGAAATGGTTTGCCCTTACATTATTTCAAGGAGTTTTGGGGACTTCCTAGTCTAGTTTACAGCCTCAAGATTTCCTGATAGTCTTCCATTCAAGTAGTCATGATTAGTTAGGTGCTGCCCCCTAGAGGACGGCTGACCAATAAAATTCACACCGTGGGATTCAAACAGTATCCCAACCCCCTCAATTGTCACTGCTGTTGAAATAACAAAATAATTTCTGTACTCTACCCAAAAGATACTAGAAACCATCTTACCAGTACATGTTGTTTCCATTTGTCTTGCCATTTGCCAAATAAAATAGTTGTTTTGTGGCAGAAGTTATTCTCTAAAGGTAAAACTCCTTCTGTTAGCTGTGATGGTAGAGAATAGCAGGAGGCCGGTAGCTGTAATCATGATTAGAAGTTGCAGGGTGGAGTTTCGGCATGGAAGAGGGAAGAGCAAGAGAGAATATTGACTTCCATTTGGCTTTTGAATCAAACCAGGCACTTTTTACATATGCTAGACCAGGGGTAGGCAACCTTGGCTCTTTTATGACTCGTGGATTTCAACTCCCAGAATTCCTGAGCCAGCCATGCTGAGGGGAAAGGGAAAGTTTCCAAGCTGAGCCATGCTGGCTCAGGAATTCTGGGAGTTGAAGTCCACGAGTCATAAAAGAGCCAACGCTGCCTACCCCTGTGCTAGACAGACCCTGGGTAACAGACCCTGTGCAAAGTTAGTTTCATCACTCTGGTCCTTCTTTTTTGGAAGGGCTCCTGATCATAAATCCTTTGGCCTGATGCTTGGACTAGGTTCAAGTACATAAAGTTCAATATTCTTCATTGTCCTCCAGTGGACATTTAGTTGGGTGGCCTTCCAACAAATCATTTATATTCTTTGTTATATATTTGTATCTATTGTTTGTTGCCAATGGTGTCTCTACAAGTGTTAGGGTTGGTGTTGGTTTTTCACTGTGTAATCCTCTGGAGATTCCCTTCTCTGAAATTAAGAGTAAGTATAGTGTGTTACTAATTTCAAAGAACTATGGGATAAAGTGAGTAGTCACAGAGGGGGATTGCATGTCTTAGGACTCAGAGTATAGTCCAGGGGTAGGCAACTTCGGCTCTTTTATGACTCATGGACTTCAACTCCCAGAATTCCTGAGTCAGCTATAGCTGACTCAGGAATTCTGGGAGTTGAAGTCCATGAGTCATAAAAGAGCCGAGGTTGCCTACCCCTGTTATAGTCTGTTTGCGGCTGAGATGTAAGAAATAATGGTAAAAAACTGGGAAATTCTGAAATGCCGATCCTCAGGAGATGCCTTGGGTGCTCTTTCTCTCTTATGTGTTTACATGGTTTTGAAAGCTTATTTGTTCAGACAGGTTTTTAACACATTGTGGTCAATGGTTGCTTAAAAGCTTCGGCTTTTAAAAAGCTATTTTTGCTAAAGTGTTTACTGTTTTGATTGTTTCATTTACATAGTGGTACTTGTTTTTTTAATAACTGAAGTTATGAAATGTGTGTTACATTAATTCTTTAAAGTTATTTCTTTGAAAATTATCAGAAATACTGTAATTATTTACTAATAAATTTTGCATAGTTTGTAAAGTTCAATTGGGTGAAATGGTGCATCATAGGGCAACAATTTTTGAATCAGTGCACCTCAAATGGGCTAACACAGGGGTGTCAAACTCACAACGTCACTTGTTGAATCGTGACTTTTTTTCCTTTGCTGGCAATGGATGGGCGTTGTTTTGGCACGATGCATCCAGCCCACGGGCCAGCAGTTTGACACCCCTGGGCTAACATATGAAATGTATCTTTCAGCTCACATAAAACCAGACAGAAAAAATGACTACATGAACTAATTCTGTTTTATTATAAAGCCACATGAACAGCATGTTGCAAGTCTGAAAGTACAAACTTCCCACTGCTACTTTTTAACTGCTTAGCCTTAGTCCAATATGGCGGGTCCTTCCTGAGTTTCTTTGACAGCAAAACCACTGGGAGCTTCTGCCTCTCTGTTTCCTAGGCAGCTTCTCTTCCCCTAATTTTTTCAGGTCATCCACAGATTCCATTCAGACAAAGTTGCGGCTGCTGCTGTGCTGCTGTGTCATTTGATTGTCAGTTCCAATGCTCCTTGCCATCTTCCTACAAGGAAAATCAATGGGAAGGCCAGCAGAGTCACTCCCGCTCCCACTGCTTTTTTGCCCACCTGTGGTCATTCTGTTTCTCTGTTTAGGTAAGGAAATGTCTGTGAAATTATGACCCAATGGTTACAGGTTGTCTAGTGGTAACTGATTTCCAGTTCAGTCAAATTACATTTAAAGTATTTTAGTTTGAAGCACTTTAAATTAAAACTCTATTTGTATAGGAGAAGAGCTGTACTTCACTCTATCTTTCCTTGTGAAGAATGCTTATCATCCTCTATAATTCCTCCCCCCCCCCAAGTATTTCCTTTTTCATAGTTTTTAAGGATGCTAACTGTAATTGCTTTTTGCTTCTCTATGGTATAAATCAGATTTTTGAAACAACAACTCCCTTGAAAACCTCATTGCATGTTGTTATTGTTGCACTGATTATGGAATTGGTTTGTTTGATGTGGCTTCTAGCATGGTGCTAACTATTTAGGCTGTATAGTACTTCAGAGTGCCCAGGGCCTTATCCACAGCTCCATAAAGCAGCTCTGTTTTTCCAAGATGCCAGTAGCAGCTGCATGGAGCTCTATGTATGCACATGCAGGAATGTAAACTTTTTGTTTCTTTCTCATTTTTGTGAGTTAAGGATACTTGGCAGTTTGCTGGTACCATGAAGGTATATTTATATATCTCTCCTTTCCAGTCAGGGATCTTCTGTTTTTTTCACCTAGCTGCTCTAGCAGTTTGGGTGGATTTTA